GCTTGGGCAGGGGGTTGGGCTGGGTGACCCACAGAGGGCCCTGCCAACCCCTGCCATGCTGGGATGCTGTGAGACAAGCCAGCGTCGCGCTGCGTTCTGTGTGCCAGCCAGGGTTAAGCGGCCCCGGGAGCCAGGCTGGTGCGTGGCTCGGAAGCTGACAGAGGGACACCGCCACCGTCTGCGTTTTGGTCTTCAAAGAAAGGGCAGTGCTGACTTCATTGTAGAGCTTCAAAGGAATAATTTCAGCTACTCTTTAAACAGGCAAGGGAGGAAGCAAAGTTTATAATGTGCTAAAGAAGGCTATAATTCCGCTCTGAAGTTCCCTATCAAACAGATGAGGAACGAGCAAATAAGTACTCGGTACATGGGAAAATGAAGTTTATTACTGGCATTACAGTGTACATTATGTTTTTACAATGCAGCTGATAGCCTTACTTTATTGATTTTTTTTTTTTTCCAAGTTAAATGTAGAGGAACTGAATAATTACTACTGAGCTACAAGATGTCAGAAATACGGTAAGTGCTTTAACCAGGAGCAGTTTCCATGGACTAAGCAGAGATTAAGATTTTAAAATCTTATCAGTACAGATCTGCACACCTGATTTCGTTTGATCTGCATTCAAAACCAGATGTTCTTTCCCCTCCCCTGCAACTCCAGCGGCCCGGTCTCGTATGAGGAGTGTGGTATTTGCAGACAGGTCTCTGCTCTCCGACGTGCATCGGCGAGCGCGACGTTTAGGTCGGCGTGAAGGGGAACGCTCTGCCCGGCGCGGACTGGGGCACTGCCTGGGCCTTGGCTATGCAGGCGCGGGAAGCAACGTGCAGACCATGAAAAAGAAGGGCTCCTTCAGAAGATTACTGATCTAGAAAAACAATTATTTGGGGGGGCCAAAAAGAGAGCAGGTCTTTGAAGTGGGGTGGGAAGAGGGGTCTTGTTAATGGCAGAGTCCTGGAGTGGAGGCAAACCTCCCCGCACCCCGAGCCATCGTCCCACTGCCAGTCTCCTCACCGACAGCCAAACACCTGCACCAGTTCCTCTCCAAAGTCATTACTGTCAACCTGTTCAGCCCATCAACATTCCTAAAAGATCACTTCTGTAAAAGAGAACTCATCTCCTTCACCCCTGAGGCCTTCCACGCTCTCCTGCCAGCCCCAGGCATCAGCGAAGCGAAAGGTCCTGGCTCCACTCCCCGGCCCCCTGCCCCGCACCCACCGCTGCCGAGGAGAGCAGTGAACGTTAAGGCACCTTTGAGCTCACGACTTGGGAAACGCACACGGAGCCGTTACGATGTCCACAGTGCACCCGCTAGCCCGGAGGCCCCGGGCTTGTAACCCAGCAGGGCTGGGTAACGCAGGACAGAGCTACAGCCACGGGTTTTAAAGCAGTCGTCAACCTCAGCTTGGTCATCTTCCCTCCTTCACAGCCAGAGGCAAGTAATAAAGAGCTGCAACGGGCTGAATTTGTCATGCTTTAAAGATAGGGTTTTGAGGCTCCAATACCAAGAGCAGAGTGTTTTTAAAGGAGACCACATAAATCCAAAGCAAGGGGCCACTCGGTCACACCGCTGCCAGCCCCGCGGAGAGCCCGCGGCGTTGGCGGACGCCGTCCCGCTGGCCGGACACCCGGTCATGCCTGGCGGCATCGAACACCAGCCCAGAAGCAGCAAACTGGATGGGACGTGGACGCTGCTCCAGGACCCA